AAACAATAAAACAAAGGTTGAGCAAGACAGAGTAAATCATTATAGTACCATTACCATTATCAATATGTCACTCATGAAATCTGGTCTGGTCTTCCATGATATACTTCAGAGAAAGAAAATATATACAATATTCCCTTCTCTTACACAATGAAATGACTCAAGATTCTAAACAGATATAAATTATTTTGAGGGCTATTTCATTGGTGGATATAACAGTATGCTTACTTGTACAGCTTGACAATTTAGATTAAGGGTTGATGTTCACATTTTTTTCAGATATTTAACTTGAGAAACACATGTAAATAAACAGTCCCTTAAATCAGATTCATTTTCTTTGACAGAATAACCACCACCATCACCACTATACTTGTTCTCATTTCATGTATACAAAAAAAACTGGACTGATATGATAATAAGATTTTTAAACAGAACCTTACAACCTTTAGGTACAATTCATTATGTAATATTAATGTTGGATTTTAGGTAGTATATTTTAAATGGAGTCATTTATTTCCTGATCTTTCAACGACCACTCAATTTGAATGCTAACTTAGAAAAATGTAACACCTGTTCTAAGACCATCAGTTTAAAAACTTTTTTTTCAAAAATCTCTTGTCTATAGAGAACAATGATTAATTAAGATGCTTAGGGGTAGGATATCTTAGCTAACTGAAATGCTATGCTTAAGTCAGGGTAATTGGATTCACTTTATTAATGCTATATCCCAAAATATATATCTCTGATGGATCATTATTCTGAGGATTATTCACTCTGAATTGTACTTGAGGCAAAAATTCTTGAAATACAGGAGATTCACTCTGCATCTCCTGGATAATGGTCTCAGAATATTCCTCAGAATTAATTTTCATTTGCTTAATTCTCCTAAAAGAGGTAAATATTAGAGGCCTGTTAACTGGGCTCCAATAAATCAGTGCTTTATTCTAACAGAAGTACAGCAATAGTTATTTCTTTCAACATTAAATTCTCAGAACTGTTACTACATTCGCCTGTCATGTATATAGGCAAAATTATTTTTAAAAATCAGGTAACTCTGGTCCAAAACCTCCTAAACAGTATAAGTCCTTCTGCAAATGAATGGCCTAATGATTGAGGGTCAGTTAGGGAGAGTTATTTAGAACAGTTTTTTAATCTGCAATTAGGGTTTGAGATTTAATGCAGTGGCTGTCCATCTAAAATTCACCTGAAATTATTCTTCACAGACTATTAAAGACAAAGGCTGGCTCAAATATATATGAAATATAAAAGAAACATAAAAGGTTGCAATATAAAGCACTTTAAATATTAAATATAAAGGCATATCATATATAAAGTATGAAAAATTTATAATATTTTGCATTTTGACCCATAATACAAATGTTCTCTAAATCAGGACATTCTGTGTTTAGTATATCTAATAGTAACAACAGTAACTATCATTTATTAAATATATATTATGCGACAAAAATGGTTCTGGACCTATGATGTACAAATAACCTCATTTAAATCCTGACAACACTTCTGCAAATTAAATATTGTCTCTATTTAACAGAAAGAGAAGATGAAGTTCAATTTGTTTTTAAAAGTAAAAAGAACCAGAGTGGGGATTCACCAAGTTCAGACTCCAAAACCTCCAACTTTTCTGTAATACCACTTTGCCCTTGACAAAACTAAATAGAGTCAATCCTTGTTACTATTTGAGAGTTCCACATGTACAAATTTGCCTACTCACTAACATATATCTGTAACCCCCAAATCAATTCTTTTTTAAATTTTATTTTTAAGTCACCTCTCTACCCAACGTGGGGCTCAAACTTACACCCCCAAGATTAAGAGTCGCACGCTCCACCAACTGAGCCAGCCAGATGCCCCACTCTCAAGTCAGTTCTTGTAGCACTTCTAGGGTCATTCAGGAGCATTGAAAAATTTGTCCCCTGGTGCATGTGTGCATTCCCCACTGAGGTCAAAAAAGACAACAGTACCCATTCCTGTTTCAGCTCTAACTCTGTAAACAAGTGTTATTTTTGTGGTTTATTTGGTGCCACATTTTTCAGTTTTGTGTTTTTTGCAATTCATTGTTTTAAATGAACCCCAAGCACAGGGCTGAAGTGCTGACATGGGTTCCTAAGCATAAGAAGGCCATGATGTGCCTTGCGTTAGATCAGCTTTGTTCAGGCATGGGTTATAGTGCTGTTGGTCATGAGTTCAACATTAATGAATCAACTATATATATTAAGTAAGGTGTTTTTAGACACAAAGATACGTAAAACAAGGTTATGTATTGATCGACTGATAAAAATGTCATGACCGGAGGCTCATAGGAACCTAACCTGGTATTTCCCTTAGGAGCAATGGTTCAGTATTTGCTAATTAGTGTTCAGGGTGACTTTAGAGAACATAACTATGGTGAATAATGAAAAATCCAATTGAAAACTTCACCCCCAAGAATGTTTCCATTAATATTTCAGTGAAAGATTCTTCAGTCATTTCCTTCAAAGGTCATGACTATATCTGTGCAGTCACTACTCATCTGCGTAAGAGAAAGAAACCTTTCGTTGCCATTCTGGTTCATGGGTTGTAGCTACATGTGTCTGACTTTGCTCAGAAAATTAATCTTTCTTCAAAGCAATCTGGCATTCCAGTGTGAAAGTCTGAGGAATTAAATTGAATTCTTATTTCTGGATGTCATGGGTACTGTTTAAATATGACTGTTTTGTGAGATTATGATTTTTAAGACTAGACTGTTACATATGATATGGACACCATGAGCAACAACCGCAACAACAAAACTTAGCAGAGGAATTTAAAAATATCAGCACAAATTGGAACTCTTACCTTTCTTGTCCAAGTCAGATATTTTATTGAAAAAAAAAAAATTACAGTACTTAAAAATCCAAACAAGGACAATTCAGGATTGAAAGAAAGAAAACCTGAAGGAGCCCATTGTCTTCAGTAAAATTTGAATACAAAAAAATGTAGACCAGGAAAACAGTTTATGGCCTAATGCACTAGTTCGATGATAAACACACATATATAGTATTTCTCCATCAAGTGAAACTTAATCACCTTTTTACAATTTAGAGAGGGAAGGCAGCTTTTACTATGGTTAAGCCATGTATCATCAATACCATGAAGCCAGCCTATCAGATGTAATAGCTTCTATAAAATACCACAGTGAGATTGCAATAAGCCTAGAAAATGGGCTACAAATCCCATCTATGCTCAAGCAAGCAGTGAACCAAAAATAAAAATAGGTAAAACTGAACCAAGAACTAGATAGCATTCATCTAGATTCATGATTGGTAAGGCAAAGTTCATAGGCCAAGGTTTTAAAGTGACTTATTCAGATCTAAAAGGCAGTCATTATACAAAATAAAATAAAAGCATTTATGTAATTCAGAAAAGAAATCACGAATTTTTACTCTAAAGGACATAGCACAAAAAAAGCTTACTTACAATGACCAAACACCACATTATTGTACCTCTAAAATATCACTTTAAATATGCAAAGGTAAAGATACTCAAAGTTGCATTTTATCATATTTAATCTCTCCAGTTTAGACAAGCAATCTAAAAGATGTCACACGCTTTCTGCTTAACACATTTTCTGAAATCTTTCAGATTGTAACACCTTTAGGTAAAAGAAATGTCAACTTTAAGTTTCTTTCCCAATCACCATATTTAAGTTATCCATTAAATGCTGAATTAACAATTAATCCATACAATATAAAAATACATGTATTAAATCACAGTTTTCATCCATTATGGGAACGTAATAAAAAATACTCATCATTTTAACATACCATTTTGAAGAATTCAAATGGCCTGAATGTTGTAGAGTGTCTATAAATTATACCATCAATAGAAATGTTACATTTTCCCCTCTGCTTGTGAAAATGAGCTCATGCAAGTATTTTTGACACTCACAGTGACACATATGGTCTGCCAAGGGTGTGCAAGCAGCTCTCACTTTTAAACATGACAATATGATTCAGAGGCATACAGTATTAGTTGAAATACCAGCTTTCACATGATTTCCAGAAGCTCTAAGCCAAAATGATAATTTTGAGTGGTTGCAGGTATCAGACAGAGCAGATAATTTTAAAAGTAATAATAAATGATTCTACTAGCACAGACTAGTTATCACCGTAGTTAGCTTTAAAACTAGGATGATTTTTTTTTGTAGTACAATGAACACTATACTATAAAATACAATGGGTTTGCAATACAGAGCAGATTTTCCAAGTAGAAAGCAAACTGAACAAAACAGAAATTCTAGTAAAGATTATCAACCTTACCTACTACTCATCTTAGCCCTTGTTAAAATACCCTGAGTAAAATGCAGATATTTTAAATAATGCTGGTTATATAAGACTTCTCTAAAAATGAGCCATAAATGTCAATGCATCGTGTTTATTTACAACAGTCAGAGATGTAAAAATTACTTCTTAACCAGTCACAATATAAACATTAAGGAATACTTATGTGAGATCTGGAAGTTTTCCATTTTCTAGGTTTTGTTAGTATTTTGGCAAAGCAAGTAATACATAAATGGATTCAATGTAAAAAAAAAATCATAAAAGAGAAAAATATATAAAATTTACAGTAGTTCCACCCACCCTGGGCCAGCCTAGATCCCTAGAAAGCCTCCCCAACCAGGTTCACTTCTGACTAAAGGAAGAATACCAGTCCTCCACAGCAAAAACAGCCCCATCTTTTCATCAAAGAGGCTCTCACTTCAGTGATATTCCTCCAGGGGAAGAGGACAGGAGCCAGGTTCCCTCGAATGTCATTCCCCAGATGTTCAAAACGTAACTAATTTATTAGCATTAGAAGATTTGGTTTATAGGGGAATCTCACTGGTCCAGTTTGTAGCCTACAAAAAAATGGATTATTTTTAAGTATAACATTAGAATATGAATAAAGGATGAGGATGTGGCTTTTTATTCCATAGAAATGGATACATTTCCAAACATGACAATTAAACAAAAAAGCATGCCTACCATTGAAGTTGCGGTCCCTCCTGATTTTTTAAAGTTCTTGGAAGGCATTCCATGAAGGCGACTGAGTCTAGCTTGGAAACCTGGAAAATCAAAGTCCTCAATTTAGGAGATTCTATGATCATTGTTCCTATCAATACAGAATTCAAAATAAGTCGGAGGTAGGAAACGTCTTATATAGTAGTGGGGAAAATGCAAAACACACTTAAAAGATCTGAAGCAACGCCTAGTAGGGTTCTAATGAGCTTAGCACACAACCACTGATTATTTAAGATTTATGGTATTATTCAAGGCTTTTCTTTCCTCCTAATTTACCTTTCTAACATTTCAACATTTTCACACTGGTCCTAGCAAGGAGGCAAGTCAATCTTTCTAATAATTAGAATGCGTGATTAATGTAGTAGCTGAATTACTGGCTGACATATGTCTTTACAGCATCTTGTGTTTAGACACTTTCATTTCCGTTTTAGCCTATCCTCTTTTAATGGATATTCCTAGATTCACTATAAGCCCACCATATTCAGCAGTCAGCAAGTGCTACTGACCTCTTCTTCCCGGATGTGACATAAGAGGGAAAGAACCAGTTAAGATACTTTCAAAGACAGGATCTGGTACATTTTTGTCTAGCTCGGTAGGGTCTTCCTTGTCCCACCAGGGCACAACTCCAGTGATGCCGCACGCTCCACCTGATTCCTTCTCATAAAACCAGTCACTCTGCTCATCATCACCTGTGCAAATACAAGAAATCCCCCAAAGACTCAGTTTTATTATCCAAATATAGAGTTATCAGATTTTGATTTAAAGAATGCAAGACAGCAATTAAATCTGAATTCCAGAGAAAGGATTTTTCATATAAATATACAGTATCTGCACAAAATTTTTAGTATGTCTAAATACTGCATGGGACACACTTATATTAAAAAATTATTTGTTATATACCTAAAAATCAAATTTAACAGGGGATCCTGTATTTTACCTGGCAATCATTTACATAATCAGTACAGAAAACTTCTCATTCTACACCACGGCTTCATTAAAATGTTTTTTAACACTACAACAAGAACTGCCAACATAAGCTGCTATGTTTTAGAATCAATTAAAAAATGTGAAAAACAATAATACTGGTTAATTCTAGGGCAAAAACTGTAGAGAAATCCATTTAAGTTACTACCCTTTCCAAATTAAAGAAAAACAAGCCTTAATCTCCTACAGTGAATTTGAAGTATAAAACTGTAGAACCTGTTCTCTGCAGCTAATAATGGTATATAATTAGCTTAATTTCATGATTTGTATGGAGTGTAAAAGGGGAAATGATCAAGAACAGATGTGACTAAATGAAATTAATCTGATTAAGTTCATTAAGAAATAGTTGTGAAAAAGTTGATTTTAAATGAAAAGTGACAATACCACAGAGTTTACAAAGAAACTATTACTGGACTACGACAAGCAAGGTATTTTTAAGACAGAACACTATCCATAGTAGGGTGGACTTTTGGGAACACCCACGAGTGTTAACCATGGAGAAATGATCCATTTAAAATTCAGTTTAAAATGTACTGGTGAATCAACAGTATTTTGTTTTTAAAAGAAAATGTGAATCAACAGTATTTTGTTTTTAAAACAGGAATAAGGGAAAAAAATACAGAAGAAGGCAGATGGCTTTTAAAAATAGGTGACAAATAGTTTTTTGAATATGATCCTAGATTGACTAAAGTCTTCATGATTCATCTTAGAAAAACTACTAATTCTGGTTTTTAAGAGGGTCATCACAACTGCCATAAAGTTCTTCCCTTTACAGAAAGAGATTTCTGATTTCCAAAATCTCTTAGTACAAGTATTTTTTAAAAGCAAACTAGGACAAAAACAAAAGCTTCAACTGAAAATGACTTTACGAGAAACAGCCATACTTCAAATTACGAGCGAGTGAAAAGTTTAAAGCATTTGGAAAAGCAACGCCACCAATTTATTTCAATTGAGGATTTAATAAAAATTAATTTAAAAAAACAGGCACATTTCAAAGCACATAAATATTAGTACTTTTACTGAGAATTGTATTAACATTTCCTAGAACAGGTATAGGTACAAGAAAAGAAAGGGAGTCGCTTGAAACTAATTACCTTCCATCTTGATTCCAACTGAAACAATGTTATTATGCAAAAATGAGGTTATTTTATTTTTGATGTGATACACAACCTTGTTCTTAGCAGGGAAATCAAATAGCTAAAGATTAAGAATTTGAGCTCTGAAGTCAGACCAATTAGAATTGTAGTGTTATGTGACACTGGGTAAGGTATCTCGACTCTATGAGCCTAGGTTTCATCATACCTCCCAAAAAAGAATCTCCCAGGGTTTTCTTAAGAATAATATAAACACCTAAAGTAAACTGAATGAAAAACGCACTCAGAAATGTAAAATATAATAAGCTCATAATAAATGCTAGCATATTATTTTAAATTTTAAACCATTCAAAGCTTTTCAAAGATGGACAGACTTGTCCAAAAGTTTTTTTTTTTTTTTTAAGTTTTTTTTGGGGCGCCTGAGTGGTTCAGTCATTAAGCAACTGCCTTCGGCTCAGGTCATGATCTCAGGGTCCTGGGATCGAGCCCCGCATCGGGCTCCCTGCTCCAAGGGAAGTCTGCTTCTCCCTCTCCAACTCCCCCTGCTTGTGTTCCCTTTCTCGCTGTGTTTCTCTCTGTCAAATAAATAAATAAAATCTTAAAAAAAAAATTGTTTTTTCATTTCCTTTCATTACCAAATGCAACATTTATAATAACTGAGTAGACACATGTATTTAAACGAGAATTTAGGTATATTATCAAGGTAGTCAAACTCACTCTGAGCCCCGAGGTTCTAGCATATGTCAGCAAAGTCTCTTAACTTTAAAGTCTATGGTCTTTAAAACAGTATGTACCTATTTATCTGGAATATATATGGGTTTGTAAGTAAGCCAAAATGAATGATCAATTTATTTTATTCCTACCAAGAGGAATGAACAGACTAAGAAAAAAATGCCTAGGTAGCTATTATTTTCTTCTTTTTTCCTATCATTAGACTATTTATAATTTAAAAGTAAGTTTTGGGTCTTTTTTTACCCCTTAGAACTTACTGCTTTCCTCTAAAGATTCTCAAGAAAGGCAGATAACATTTGCAGGTATGCTTCCTGCCCTCTTATTAAGGTTTTTCCTATTTTCTTCCCAAATAGGTGGTTTCAAAATAATGCCATGTGAAAGTGTGAAAAGCTTCAGGGAACTTCAAAGATGTAAAAGACCTAAGTTGTAAGACATGACTGTTTTAACAGTTTACAATATTGAATTGATTAAAACTGTCTAATTACTTAGAAACTAGGGAGGATGAATGTCACGGCTGAATAAAAATGACAAATGACTTGCAAATCCACCTTTATTAATGCTTAAACAGTATTAAATACATTTGGAATCAGGTGGAGAATGAGAACCAGTGTCTTGTGAACTTGCTAAGAGACAAAATTGAAAAGACCGAGGTATGTAAAGCTTTCTTAAGGAAGATAATCCTCCCTTAATATTATTGGCTCCACATACTAGCTTTTGGAGATAATCAATTACTTTAGGTCATGAAGACAGGATACTGTTCACAGTATTAAAAAAGAACTAAACCCCAGTCCACTAAGTAGGTGTGTGTAAGTTAAATGGGTTGCCGTCATCAACTTAAGAAATAACTAGTAATAAGCACAACTTTAAAATGAAGATGTTTTTCCAAAGGAATAAAAAAATAGCATTTCAGTACCTTGTCTTCCCTCATCATTGGTAAATAAGCCAGCATCAGTGCTGCTGAGACTGCTGGAATCACTGTAATAAGGGAAAAGGAAAAAAAAAAAAAACAACAAAAAAACAGATCAAAAGAACAATTGATCTCTCAGTCGTAAAATTTTAAAGAGACATGGCAGCTCAGAGATGAAACTTAAGCCTGACAAAGATCTGAAAGAAAAGATGATTTTTTTTTAATCAAACTGCAAATATTCTGGTTCCATTAACTACAGAGCATATTATTTTTGGCACATAAAACCACAGGAATCTAATGGGACCCTGACAGTAAGCCAGATGTGACTGCAACGAGGTGCTGACACAATTGATGTATTTTATTATCTGCTTTCATCAAATGCTTACTGCTCCTTTCTTACGCCATGCAATTCAGCCTGAGCCCGGAACACCACTGCTCAATAAAATGGGGAAAGTCTCAATCAAAAGCAGGCTAAGCCTTTCTTCAGCATATGAAATACAAGGGCCTGAGATGAAATTACTTTTCATGACCACATTTGCAAATATTCCAGAAAAGACATTACTTAAGAATGCACAACTCTATTACCTGGCAAGGAAGAAAAAAGTTTACAATGGTAACAGTCCACTAAATCAAAGTTAAAATCTCTCTGAGCAAAAACTGAGCAAAATATGGAATATTGCCAATAATATTAAGGAGAGTATATGTAAAAATAACAGGTTCTCCTACTTCCACAGAAGTTCGAGTGTGATACAAAGTCCTATTTCACATACAAATTAAAACAAACAGAGGAGATATTCGACTGACATGAACTGTCACTATTAGTTATAATAGAAGCCATGCTTATATGAAAATCTAGTTAAAAAAACCACAAAAAAGCAGATCATGTAGTAAAGACTTGGCCTCTAAAGAAAATTGATAACATTCTTTAAAGATTCTCATATACTCTCTTTTCCTGTAATTCTTAATTTTAACCAATCAGGAAGTTGCCCTAGGAGAATTTTATAATACTTTTCTCGTTAACATATACAACCCTGTAAGCTGACTTACTAAACAAAACTAATCTGTTTAAAAAAATTAATCTGTGGGGAGCCTGGGTGGCTCAGTCATTAAGCGTCTGCTTTCAGCTCAGGTCATGATCCCAGGATCCTGGGATTGAACCCTGTATCAGGCTCTCTGCTTCACGGGAGGCCTGTTTCTCCCTCTCCCACTCCTCCTGCTTATATTCCCTTTCTCGCTGTCTCTATCAAATAAATACATAAATAAAATCTTAAAAAAATTAATCCATTTTAAAAATATTTAAATTGAGAGTTTAGGGTTAAAATTATAGACGAGATCTAAATCCCTATGTTTTCTTTTTTTTTAAATTTTTTTATTAACATATATTATTTGTTTCAGGGGCACAGGTTTGTGATTCATCAGTCTTACACAATTCAGTGCTCACCATAGTACATACTAAATCCCTATGTTTTCTGAATATGGAATATCATTTCAATTATTTGATTTTTAAAAAATAAAAAAGTATAAGGATTTATTAAATGGTACATTTTCCCTAGGAACTCTAAGTTAGTACATTTTTCTTTAACTTTCTTCATGTTAGGAGAATATATAATACTATATATATACTATACTGCGCAAGTGTTAATCAAAGAATACTTTCTTAGACAATCACATCCATAATTTCTTATTTACAAATGCACATGCTCTCCTATGCACAGTGATGTCTGAGTATTAAAAACACTTCAGAAACTTCATCATTTTGCTATTTAGCTGTCCAAACTACTGTTGATTTTTATTTTTTTCCTCTTCTGTGATTGCGTAGTGCTTTCTTGTTTGCCTGTATCAACACACCCTAATACAGGGCCTTATCCTACATACCTTGAGTCACAATTCTTTTTCTGAAATCCTTGAGGTAACATGTATTTAAAATTCACAATTTTTCAAATTTTGGAAAGATATGTTCTAAAATGCCTAATAGGGGTTTGGGGTAGAACTCCAGAATCAAACCTATTAATATATTTTTTCAAATAAATGAATGAATATCCACATTAAATCCAGGTCAAGCTAGGTCTGGCCACAAATGAGTTAGTTTTTCACAGCTTTCAGACTTCAGATTTATAGATAAAGGACTGTGAAATGCGAAACTATGTGCTCTTTTTTTGGGGGGGTACAATGGTTTTCTAATTTCTGAGTTCAGATTTACCTCTTTTAATATTCTACACACAACCAGGCTCATTGTTTACAAATATAACTTGCTGACTAAAAATATTATGACATCTTGGATGGGATCCTGGAACAGAAAAAGGACATTAAAGAAAAACAAGGAAATTCTAATAAAGTACTGACTTTTGTTAATAATGCATCAACACTGGCTTATTAATTCTGACAAGTGTATCAGAGTAATGTATGACATTAACAGCAGGGGAAACTGGGTACAGGATATATGGGGACAGGATATACAGAAAATCTCGGCACTATCTTTGCAACTTTTCTATAAATCCAAAAGTATTCTAAAGGAAAAGTTTATAAAACATGCATGTATCTATATATATATATATATAAATTAAATAAAATAATAAAATGTTTTCTATTAAAATCTAAAATTACTTCCCCATACTTGTTGGATTAAATGTGGATTTCAAGGATCTGTAATGGATGAGCCCTACCTAAATTCTTCCCATCTCCATCTCTGGTCCTTTTATTTATGTTCTTTTTCCAACTCATATCCCAATCTTCTCTCTCTTCTCTTTTTTTTTTTTTTCTTAAGATTTTATTTAAATTCAAGTTACTTAACATATAGTGTATTTTTAGCTTTAGGGTTAGAATTTAGTGATTCATCAGCTGCATATAACACCCAGTGCACATTATACTGAGTGCCCTCCTTAATGCCCATCACCCAATTATCCCCCACCCTACTTCCTCTCCAGCAACCCTCAGTTTGTTTGCTATATTTAAGAGTCTCTTATGGTTTGCCTCCCTGTCTTTATCTTATTTACTCTTCTTAAAGACAGAAGGAAATCAGACTCCCCCCTCTAAGAGCAGCTTGGTCCCTAAAGATCGTTGTCTTCTTTTGGGATCTTTTTACACGTGTTTTAAACAGTATGTTTCCTTATTTATATTTCACCTCATTGACGTCTAGCTAGTTGCTCCAAGTATATCATATAGTTGTTAGCATGTTCAATAAATCAGAACAAGAACTTCTAATGAAGCAAGGTTTTTCATTTTCAGCATCTGACAGCCATTATGGCTTATCTCCAAGGACACCTCTTCCCATTTTTTTTTAGCATGATATATTCCACAAATGGTTGTCAAATTAATGTTTGTACAGCAATCCCAATCCTCTGCCCCAATCTGTTCATTTCCTGTATTTTTTATTCTTGAAACCAACACATCATCTGAGAATCTTCTTTCTCATTCATCCTCCCAAATACAGTCAACCTTCCATTGATTCCAACTCTTAAAATTGCTCTATTTCTTTTCCCTCTACTATCACTACCATAATTTACCCCTCACCTAAGGATGGATTCGAGGTCAGTGAAAGCTAAATAAAACAGTGTTACTGAGATCATGTTCCTTGAGAACATGTAAATCTAATTGAGTTTCTTCATAATTAAAAATTCTTCACTGGCTTCCCATTACTTACATGATGAAATCCAAACTGCCATAGCACACAAGACCTTCATGACAAGCTTACTGCTGTGGCCTCAACCACCACTTTGTTCTAGAAATAATCAATTACATGTACTTTCCCAGATACGTCACTTTGCTTCACAATCCAAGCATTTGCACAAGCTGTTCCCTCTATCCAGGATTGCCATTTCCCTCCCTATCCAATATCTGAACAACACTCAGTGCTTGCTTAAACCTCAGCTCCTTCAGGAAGTCCTCCTTCACCAGTATTTTCTACTCAGCACACTTCATTTTCATTGTTTGCTTATCTGCTATTCCAAACTATGGGGCTGTAGGCAACAGGATCTGTCTTATTTAGTAATCTTCCCACAGAAGGAATATGCATCTAACTCTTAGGTGACAATAAAAATAGTTACATAGCTAAGTTTAAAATAAAAGAAAGGTCACCTGGGTGGTGCAGTCAGTTAAGTGTGCGACTCTTGGTTTCGGTTCAGGTCATGACCTTGGGATTGTGAGACTGAGCCCCCGAGTCAGGCTCTACGCTCAGCACAGAGCTGGCTTGAGATTCTCCCTCTCCTCTGTCATATCCCCGCCCCCCAGTGTGCTCTAAAATAAATAAACCTAAAAAAAAGACGAATAAAATAAAAAGTATTTAAAAAAGTTATTCTGGAGTGAAAACATCCTCTTTGAAAATTTTACCTGGGCTGTTGACTGCTGGGTAGCCTGATCATACCTAATAGATACTCAAATATTTTTTACAATGAAGAAAAATGAAGAGTTTCATCTCATTTTTCTTCCATGGTAGGTATCTGTCGATAAAAGGCAGACATCAATAAAAGAAGGGCTTGGAGGATCAATCCTAAAAGCAAGTAATCTGTAAATAATCCAGAAATGGACACTTATCTCCACTGCCACACACCCTCCCTCCCAGCAACTGAGCAAATTAATCACTTACAAGTCAGGCTAAGCGGTCCTCGGTCACAATGGCCCAACGCTACCATAGAAATAATTTTCATTCTGGTATAAAAATGTACACTTTTTTGGAAGAAAAGCAGATACCATAAACTTTTCAAAGCCTTCCTTAAACATTTTTTTTTTTGGAGCAATTTTTACTTCTTCAGAAAAATTACATAAATAGTAAACCATCTCCAATAAAGGGCCCATCCTATAAACTTTTACCAGGTCCGATTCATGTTTGTAATCATATTTATAAGCAAATATATACATGTGATTATTAAATATATATATATTAAATCCATAGTTCACAATCTACATGATTAAAATGATGCCAATCTTACAAATTAAAATAAAATATTCTTTCCCAGTAAGGAATTTTTTTTTTCTGGATCATAGTTCTGTGTTTGGTTTTAAGAAGACGCCTAAAGGGATGAACAGTGTCAATACTTTCTCATTTCCTGCAGTAGCATTAGTTCTGTGTAAAAGAAAAATGATCACTTACCTTTTGACGCTGTCAAAATAGTACTTAACGATTATTGTGGTATACCTGCTTTCTAGAATAAATAGATTAGACTAGCTGCCCAAGGATCATTGCTTTTCTTATTTGTCTAATGACAAGAATTAGGTTTTACAATTCATAAATGATCAGAATTCCCAGCAATCTACAGACTTCTTAAAATATCAAGCCATACACATTGAAATGATATCATCTTTTGATTCTCAAGAATCAAAATAAACTGATGAATTGTGACACTAAAAAGCACCAAAGGCTAAAGCTCTATAATTAAACAAATAAATAATTATAAATCCACTTCTAAGAGTTACAAATGTGCTGTTATTCAAAAGCACATTCATTCCCATTGAAAAACCATTTCCTTTTCTCTTTATAGCTGAAAATTAAGTCTTTATAACACAACCAAAGACTTCATGTAAATCAAATAAGCAATTTTGTTTTGTACTAACCATTGTAAATTATAAGGAAATATAACCATGGTTAAACAGTAATATCACTATTATTATATGTTATTATAATAATTTTAAAATAGAATTAAAATACAAAACACATTCAAGCACAAACAATGGAGACACATTTTTATACTTAGAGAATATAAAAGTCACCTTTCACTCATGAGTTCATCTGAAACTTTTTGCTCTTCATAGTCCATTTTGTCCTTATTGGTCTGGCTTATTTCCTCACTTTCTAAAACTACTCCTTCATCTTGGATTTTTGGCCCTTGTCTAATTATTTTCAATTTCCTTTTTTTGACTTTGTTCTTGGTAAACTCTTGATATTGGTAAGCTCTGTCATTGTCCATGTCCTGATCTCTACAACCTTCAAGGGGCTGGGTCATTGTCCGTTTGTTAGAGATGTCCTGTGGGAGGTCCACTGCCATGCGTTTTACCTTTCTCCTTCTGCGCAGAGTTCTGTTCCCAAGGTTGTCCACAGTAAAATCCGATTCATGCCATAGAGGTCTTTTTCCTCGTACATTATTATTTAAGTTTGATGATGGCCTGCGCTTTGCCACTAACATTTGGTCATCAGAGTCACTATGATCTTTTTTATTATTATTGTGATTCTCTCTGTAGTCCTTGCTTGGTTCTTCTAAACTAGAATCAGTGCCTTCACTTAAGCAGTGGCCAGGCTCCCATGGGTGATGAACATTATACGACCTTCGTTTTCTCCCTCTCCGTTTCCTTGCCTGGCGTTTCAGAGGACAAGACATGCTCCGAGAATGATCGCCAGTTTCAGCAAATCCACCTCGAGCTTGCTCTGAGCTCTCCTCCAATGCAGAGACAAGATCATGAACCAATTCTTCCATGGTTCGACTGAAATGCCTACATTTTTAAAGAAAGAAAGAAAAATTAAAGAAAACAGTATTAACGTATTAACCTAGTTTATTACAGTAGCAGACAATTCACTCTAAGTCTAAAATTAAGTTATTATAAAGAAATGTTTAAAAGTGATTTTTCTATCCAAGATATCAGTTTTAAATATTCTGACTCATGTTTAAGCTCCTTTTTCTTGTATAAGTTCTTTCATTAAACATAGGAATTACTTCAAGATACAGTAAGCATAATATCAGCAATGAAATATCCCAGTAATTTCATATTTTTACTGTGTAATTATGGAAGTTATTTTTGCTAAATCATTGTTCATTAGTCTACTCCTGCCCTTTCCCTAGTCTTCCTAGAACAGATACAGTACTTTCCCAATCCTTCTTCCAACCACCCCTTCCCCTCCAACGATTTCTAAATGAAGGAGTAAGCTGTACAATTCTCTACTCACCACATGCTCTACCCAGTCACTACCATGATATGTGACGGAGATGTAAAGATTGACAGGTACTTTCAAAATTTGTTGTAATATATGTAAAAAAAGAGTTTAACCAGATACTAGACATATATTTAGGCTACACTAATCTCGTAACTCAGTCAAGCAGAAACTATGTTCTTACTCAAACTGGAGCCTCGCTGGTCTAAAAAGGCCCATCATTTTTCTTATAATTCATTCTGAGACAATCTCTTGGCTTTTTTTTTTTTTTTTTTGTAAAAAGAGGGGTGCCTGGGTGGCTCAGTCGTTAAGCGGCTGCCTTCAGCTCAGGTCATGATCCCAAGGTCCTGGGATCCAGCCCTGCATTGGGCTCCCTGCTCAGCGGGAAGCCTGCTTCTCCCTCTCTGACTCCCCCTGCTTGTGTTTCTCTCTGTCAAATAAACAAATTAAAAACAAACAAACATGGGGCGCCTGGGTGGCTCAGTCGTTAAAGCGTCTGCCTTCGGCTCAGGTCAGGATGGGATCGAGCCCGCATCAGGCTCCCTGCTCCGCGGGAAGCCTGCTTCTCCCTCTCCCACTCCCCCTGCTTGTGTTCCCTCTCTCGCTATCTCTCTCTCTCTGTGTGTCAAATAAATAAAATCTTTAAACAAACAAACAAACAAACAAACACCACTGAACTATGTATGTTACCAGTGAAAAAATTATCTACTTGTCAGTTAGGATAAAAAGCATTCTTTAGGAACTTTTGTAAATTATACTGACTCAACCAAACTCAACCCAAACTCAATCCAACTCCCAAAAATTCTAAATCAGTTGGTGATGGGGTGCCCAAAATTGTTTTTAATTTTTAAACATTATAGGTAATTCAAATACGTATCTTTCTTCTCAAGATCATGAACAATCATTTCTGAGTTCTAGAAGCACCTAGGGATCAAAATATTCTCAACTACAGAGGTCTATATAATTTCCAAATCTACAGCAGGTGTAGGGACTTTTCTGTAAAGGGACAAATAGTAAACATTTTAGGCTTTGCAGTCCATTAGGTCTCTGTCATAACCATTCAACTTCAGCTACTGTAAGGTGAAAATAGCCCTAGGCAAGACTTAAATGAATGGGTATGGCTATGTTCTAATAAAATTTTATTTACAAAACGAAGTGATGGCTGGCCATAGTTTGCTGACCCCTGGTTTATACAGTCTGTACAGTCTATAATTTTAGGCATTTGCAAGTTCCCTATTAACAAACTTAAACTTTTTCATTTTAACCTGAGAACACACACACATTGTGATTCAACTGGATTTACTACTTATAAGATGATGTACACATACAGCTTCTAATACAAGTACTTACTATGTGCTAGGTCCATTTTTAAGTGTTTTACATGCATTAGGTCATTTCATTCTCACATAATAACCCTATAAGATGGTATATGAGATACACAGAAACAGAGACGTTAAAGGCAATTTGCCCAAAGTGACACACCTAGGAAATCGTAGAAACAGGTTTCAAACTCCAGCCATCTGGTTCTGGAGCCTGAATGCTCAACTAAGTATAGCCAAGAACAGAATTCTAGTACTAAACAATTCCAGTATCCAGTTCTCATTTTTGTTTAAGAGTGTTGTAGCAGCAGGTAGTACTATTTTAATTGTTCAGACAGATTTAATATACATTTATGTAAAGTCAAATGACTCACAGTTAGGCATTATATTCTTTTGAACAGAAAATAGGAATGGAAGACCTGAATCAACGCAAGGCACAGGGCAGTAAAAGTGGTGAAGGTGTGTTGAATCTGAAGAACCAATGCTGTAGCCATCAGTAAAATGTACACTGTGAGTAATTAACTAAATGGACATAGTCTCTCATTTAATGTGGGTTTGTATTTTCCAGATCTCCTTCAGCATTCTGAATGAATAAAACCTATATGGACACACATTTAAAAAAAAAAAAAACGTGGTGATTCAAATATATATTTTAAATAAACCCTAGAGAATCACTAAAAGGGTCCTATATGTTACTCAGGTTTCAGATCTTTGCATTTGATTATAAGAAATATGCATCTAATAGGAATTAGCATTAAGCCAAAAAAGGGCTACAATTCTGACTACATTGATCCAAATGGGTCTTTTCTCCATTACCTCTATGTTAATAATCACCCTTTTGTTTTCCTTTTATTACAACAAATATTTTGTTCATTTCCTTTAATACTATTTCTTTGGAAGAAATGTAGTCCGAAAGACCTATTATCTCTGAATATAATATTGCACCTTTAATAAAATTCACTGGAAGCCACTTTAACATGTATTATAATAAAGATCCTTTGTCTAAAAGAAGACTCAGTATCACCGGGTTCTCAAGTAACTTACGTTTTGAAGACTTAGTTTTCTTATCAATGGGTGAATGACTAGGTCTAAATATTAATGTGAAATTGACTCAATGCATGATTATAATCTCCAACTAAAATTGCAGGTTACTTCGGAAGTCATAATCTAGTGCTTTACTTTAGAAAAGAAAATGTGGTGGTCCTAACATTAGATAAGGGTTAGCAATCAGATTCAATCCATTGAAATTTATCTTCAATTAATTTCATTTAAAAAATATTGCTGTAACAAACATAGCTTAAGAAAATATAACTGATAGTATTACTAACAATGTAAGCAAAACTTTTTTTTTTTTTAAACATTTTATTTATTTATTTGACAGAGATAGACACAGCGAGAGAGGGAACACAAGCAGGGGGAGTGGGAGAGGGAGAAGCAGCCTTCCTGTGGAGCAGGGCGGCAGATGCGGGGCTCGATCCCAGGACCCCGGAATCATGACCTGAGCTGAAGGCAGACGCTTAACGAGTAAGCGTCGTTAACCCAGGCACCCCTGTAAGCAAAACTTCTTTATAACATCATTAAAATTGTCACCTTACTTGATTTTATACTGTTTTTTGAGAAAATAAAATACCTTAAAAAACTTTTAACCAGAAGAACCCAATTTATTCCATGATGCTACTCAAATAGGAATCAGATATGACTATCAAGTAAAACAACTTTAAAAAGACTTCTTGGGGCGCCTGGGTGGTTTAGTCGGTTAAGCGTCTAACTCTTGATTTTGGCTCAGGTCATGATCTCACAATCAAGAGTTGTGAGATACAGCCCCATGTCTGGCTCCATGCCGATGTGGAGCCTGTTCGAGATATTCTCTCTCCGCCCCCCACCAACTCTCTCTCAAAAAAAAAAAAAAAGAAAGAAAAAGACTTCTTAAAAACCCCATAAAAACCCAGAAAAAAATACATTTAACATACGTGCCACTCAGAGTTCAAATCACTTTTTTCCCCTTCAGTTTCAACTAACCAGACTCCTGCAAGCCAAAACCCCTGTTAATGAGCCAATAATATTAGAGTCAGTCAGTCAAGCTGCTTCACTTATATCTCTCAGGGAAAACTGGCATCAACTGGCCTCACAGAAATAAAGTCATTATAGGAGACCATCACATGATCAATAGCTCATTTATTTACTTAGCAGTAACACTGAAAATCATTGTATGGAAACACTTTATCTTCAAGATATTTTCTTAAATAAGGTCTTTCCTATTTAAGAGGAAACCTGGAAATATAACTTTCTTGTATAAAAACCTGTGTTTATTAAGCATGCATAGTTGTAAAGTTTAAATTATAGTAAAATTAAGTGAATTACCACTTAGTTAATTTGAATAATAGTCACATTTATAAAACAATTTCTCTTCATTTGGAATTCAATGGAAATGATATCTTTTGAGAATAGTTTGCATTGGGTATAACATCTAAGATAACAGTTAACTAATAACTTTCTTAAAATACTCAAAATGAATAGAATTATAGTCCCACTATCTATATAAAGTTGGATTTTATAAAAGGAAATGACCTGAGTAGACAGGCATTTTGGTTTTGTGTAGGCTGTAGTACATTACATAATGTTTCTGGTTCAAGAAAGAAGACTCAGGAAGCTGCCTTAGTCCAAACTTACTGTTCATATGTTCACAAAGGACTGACAGTTGACTGATAAATCAAGGACTCTCAAATAGCAGTCAACAATGTATAAGCAGGCATGGTAGGAGATTAAGCCCAAGAAAGCCAAAACTGATCCCCCCCAATAACTAACAGCTAACTACTGTATCAACAACTATTACTTTTTGAAGACTCTCTTAGCAATAACTACTATTCCTAAGAGGATAAAATATAGCATCTACAGAAAAATTAGGGAACAATTTCCTTGCCTGGACACTGATAAAATAATTACACAATAAGATGACAGATATGTGTGTCTACTGAAGAAACCCAACAAGTTCATTACAAACAAACAAAAATCTTTCAGATATAACAAAAAAGGTAATTGACTACAACTGTCAAGTATCTAGATAAGGAAAAAGAAATCAAATATTCCTTATCACCTAGTGCATGGTAAAATTCTCATCTTCATCTCTGTAAAACACAAATTATTTCTTCTACAAAGTTAAGTAACTCTAGCAGTGGAGTGCTAAAATGAAGTTAAATGTTGCTAAATACCATTGCTTAACTGGCTTTTAAAAATTTAAGGAAACA